GGCCCACCTCAGAAAGGTCTTTGTGATGCAATTTGTAAAGCATGAACACACACATGCACGCACGCACGGCACATACCCACTACAAGACCTTTGAAAATTAGAAAGCAAATCTTTTCCCTCAGTCCCCAACCTTTGAGATGTGAGAGCTGCGTGTGTGTTTTTGCCCCTGTAATTTTCTCCACAGGTACTTGGGACTCTCCTGCCACTCAAAGCACCATGACTTACTGTGAATTTCAGTAAAAACGAAAACAAAAACAAAAACAAAAATAAAAACAAAACAAAACCTGACATACCCACTGTGCTTTTCCTCATCCTGGACTGTGTCTATCTCAAGGCACATGAGCCCTGTCTTTTAAAAATATACTAAGTTTTGTTTCCCTTGACCAATACATGGAGTTTGGTTCTTGCCAAACACTGAACAAATACTGAAGACAACTCTACGCTGTTAGTCAGCATGGGGGGAGGGGCAGGGGTTCCTGATGGTCTCTGATGGTGCTGCCTGTCAGTGTCTTGCTTCAGCGTTTGGAAGTCTGGCTGCCGAGTGTTAATTAGAATAAAGGGCTTTAGCTGCACTTCCATGATGTCTGGCTTTTCTCCGTGTCAATGCAAAGCTGATTAAGAATATTTGGGGCTTAAGTAACTGGTCTTCGTACATTTAGTGAAAGGAGACTGCCTGTGATGCCGTTAGGGGTACAGTTTCCTATTCGTTCCTAGGACCGTGCCCCTGCTGGTTTGAGTCACCCCGCTGTAAGGCAGCAGTTACTTCTCTGTATGTGAACTGGAAGGCCAGTTGATAGCATCGCAGAACAGAGGAAGAAAACTCTCCCCAGCTGGCCCAGGTCTCGGGGCTGTGGCTGAAGCAGGGAGCTGCTGAGAAAGGAAAACAGATGGTCCCAGGTCTCTGCACAGCAGGTAGGTGTGGCCAGTAATGGAAGGCTGCAAACAAATTACAGTGCTTTCCCTGCCTTGGAAGATTACAGGTGTTGACAGACACCCTCCTGAGCCTGTCAGGCCAGTAGCAAGGCCTGAGCAGCCAGGCCCAAGAATTCCAGCTTAGATCACCGCCAGCCCCTGGCTTCCTGGAGGGGATGGGAGGAATAGGCCAGATGAGAGAGGAGAAACAGAGCGTTCAAGGGTTTTGCTAAAGTGGTCGGGAGTTCAAGCAGCAGGCCTCTCTGACTGCTAGCTACTTCTTGAGGGAGTATTAAAAGGCAGACCGTCAATGAAAGTCTCCATAATCCAAAAAAAGATATATGTTCCTCAGCTGAGAGGTACTCCCTTCCCTCCTTCTCCCTCCTTTCTCTCTCCAGTAGTCCTGTCCATCCCCCCCCCACACCCGTCCCACCCCATGATCTCCTACCATTCTGATTCCTCAATATAAGCCTACCCTTGTTAACTGAGTGGCTCCTAAAGGAAAAGAATCCTTTATAAAAGTAATAAAGAAGAGGAAAAGGAGGCAGATGGCAGGGAGCATGAGGCCATTTCAAGATGTTCTGACGGGCAACTTCAAACTTTCATTACTGGGTTAAGCTGAAAGATGACCTTTACATAACCTAAACATTTCACATTTTTTTAAACTTAATGTGGAAATTTCTTAAGACTATTTTTCCTTTGAACATAATACTCAGGCATTCTGCGGTAGAGAAATGAAATTTCACAGACCCAGAACAGAGGCAGATACAAATGTCATGCAGTCTAACGCCTGATCCTGTAGTCCTACAATGGTGTCGGTGTAACAGGGACGGTGCTCCTTCCAGAAAAAGAGACTTCCAGGAGCAAGTATGCCCAGGCTGAGTGACTTCTTCACGTCAAATGTAACATGCCCCAGCTGCCCTCCAGGACTGCAGATGTCAGGGCTGTGTGTCATTTGCTGAGGGCCAGCAAATCACTTGCCGGGCTTTATTTTGTCTTTTGCAATATAAGAAAACTGTGGTCTTCCTCAGGGATATTCTGATCAGTATTTTAAAAATTCAGGGTGTATTTTCAGGCAACTGGAGTCATTTGAAGACGGGCTGGCGATACAGTTGAGGAATGCGGGGTTTTCTGAGTGGTGGTAGTGGTTCTGTAGTTGGGTGCATCTGCCTCTCAGATGCACCCTGGATTGTTATGAGGAAGTACCATTGTGTCTGACCCTCGCTCTCCAATAGTTCATCAAAGCAAATGAGCTCACACACACACACACACACACGCACGGAGTAATGAAAATTGAGAGGCAGCTTGACTAAGGCCCCATCTCTGTGAGAGTCTCAGGAGCTGGCAGAGGTCTATGGGGAAGGTGGCTGGAAGACAGAGGATTGGTTGTAACAACCCCAGCTCCTAAATGGTGTCAGGCATCCAGGAGAAGTTGTGTTTGCTGTTTAGACAGGATGAAGCACAGCCTCTCCAACTGGGTGGAGAAGTAAGGGTCCTCTTAAAGTAAGTTCTTATTGATACGTGTCAGGTACTTTTTAGAAACAATTGAGCTTTTTCTTTCTTAATGATGTATTTTTGAAGCACTGTCTAGGTTAAACAGGCTAGCCTCCCATGTGCTATGTAGCCCGGGCTGGTGTGAACTCAGAAGCCTCCTGCTTTTACCTCCCGAAGCCCTGGGGGTCCAGGACTGGACTGCCGCATCCCACCAGCACGGCAACAAACTGAGTGCTGGTGTACGAAGTGCTGAGCATCCCTGCCTTCTTTCTCTCCTGGCCTCTGAGAGTCAACAACCAGATTTCACCCTCTAGGACAGAGCCTGAAGAAGAGCTAGGCCCTAAAGATATGGTCTTGTGAGATGAGCCCTCGGCCACAACACAGTCCAGCCAACTGCCTTAGGGGTACAGTTGGCTAACACTGCCTATAGACCAAACCGCATCCATATGTCCAAAAATAGCACAAGGCACCAGAAGAGTCTCTGATGTGAAAGCCGAGACCAAAGCAGACCTAAACCTCCAACAGGGGCTGTATAGGGAGAGCAAAACTGAGTAGAAAATTACCAAATTATATCTAAAGTTATGCATCCAGGAAACAACAGAATACCACCTTAAAAAAAATACAAATTAAAGGTTGGGGGAATAGGAAAGCAGAAGCGAAAAGAATACAATAAGTGGATTAGAAGAATAAGGTACACAACGAAAAACAGAAGTCAGAAAACTGAAACAAAAAAAGAGAAACAGAAGGCTGAAGAGCTGGCCCAACAGATCCTACATCTGAATAACAAATTCCAAAAACAAAACAAAATCCCAATAGGTTTTGTTGGTATACATTGTATGTATGCGCGGATCATATATTCTTGAGCTCTGTTAGCATATATAACTAATTCAGTTTAATAAAAGATTTTGGGGAGGGGGCGGAAGTCATGGTTGAAATAATTAGAGGACACTTCCCAGAGCTGAAGGGCAGGAGATTTCACGTTGAAAGGGCTCTTAGGTACTCAGAGTCAGAATGAATCAGAATTAACAAAGGCTCATTACCATGACATTTCAGAACACTGGTATAGGCTACTTCCTGTCAACTCGACATAAACTGGAGTCACCAGGGAAGTGGGAATTTCTGATGGGAACCTGCCTTTGTCAGATTGGCCCACAGGCATGCCTATGAAGTAATTTTTTTAAATTAATGATTAAGGTGCCAGGGCCTAGGTGGGTAAGGCCACCTCTGGACAGGTGTGTGTGTGCTATATAAGAATGCAAGCTGAGTAGGTTGAAGAGAGTAAGACCAAAGGCACCATTCCTCAGGGTCTCTGCCTCAGCCCCTGCCTCCAGGAGCCTCCTTTGGCTTCCTGTGAAGATGTAACTTGTAAGCTAAATACACCCCCTTCTTCCCTAAACAGTACTTTATCATAGCAACAGAACAACTAGAAATAAGAGGAAAAATCCTACCAACATCCAGAAAACAAAAAACAGGAACCAAATCTCAAATAATTTACTCTCTACGTACCCGTTCTATGGGGAAACTGCTCAGTCTGATGCGGGGCCAGATGAGACAGAGAAAGGCAAAGGATGCAGGAAACAGGAAACAGCCCTCATAAAGGGAGGTGGCACCTCCTAGGATGAAGGGCAGTGAGGAAAGCTGGGCCAGGTACATGGAGCAAGTGAGTGGGTAGGACATCCAGGGGGTGGGGAGGCGGGGGGGGGGGGGCTCTCCCAGCGAGTTGACCTGATAGGGTGCCCTTGTCTCCAAACAAGGACGATTTGGATGGGTGGGGGCAGTTTGAGGTTGAAACAGAACTAATACAAAACTAAAACCACAAGACAGTTGTTATCAAAAAGGAATCAAAACCTGACGCAGGCTAGGTGAAGCAAGCACCATTAGTCCTTACCACCTCAAGGGTGGGCTGTGAACAGGGTTGATATAATCCTAACCTAAGACAGCTGGTCTAAGCCAAGTTACAGCGCAGGTATGTGGGAATGGCAGAGGGGCAAAGAGGGAGGGAGTCTGATGAATGGTGGGAAGCAGCCCCCATCTCCCAGGACATGGTCCTCCCTGGAAACCGTACATGAGAGCAGTAGACAAGGATGTGTTTAGAAGTCTAGAGTCAGTAACAAAAGAACCCCCCCCCAAAACCCACTGGGGCAAGGATAATAAAGAATAGAGAAGTAAAAAATTCACTTTTTACTAATTTTTGTTTGAGATTTTTGGTAATAAATCTCCATCTCTCTCTTACTATATATAAAAATTTATACATATAATTTATATATGTATGGGTATCTATATGGCTATATAAAGTACATACATAAAAATATAAATATATAATTTGTTACAAATAATTGTCAAACAAAAATAATATAATAACTTTTAAACAAATATGTTATGAAATTTTGTTTAGTAAATTACTCTAAATCTTCATTATAAAATTACAAAAAGCTACAGAAGCATTATATTTTTTAAAAATGTAAAGGCAACGGCTCTCATATAAAATGACTAGTAGACTTGGGCCTATGTGATAATCTCCTTAGCAGTGCTGACTCGTAGTATTTGGGGGTCAGATTCATGTCATAATGCTGGCAGTGACAGAAAGTACTCACCATCTCAAGCGGCCTGAGACGAGTGCCAGAGATAGGCTTGGAATCGGTCGACTCAAAGCTGGATGCGTGAAGGCTGGGAGAGGAGAACGGTGTAGAGGGTTAGCTTGTGAGGGACTTCTGTTTCTAGTATATACCAGTAAATACTAGCTGCAAAAACAGGTCAAGGCTTTCAGTACATAAGCACTGAGAAAGGGCAACTTAACGCAGTCATAACACTCAAAACTGTTGACGGTTTTCCCATTGCTTTTAAAGAGACTAAATATACTGAGGCAAGAACTAGATGGGGTGGCCCGTATCTGGAATCCCAGTCCTCAGAACATGGAAGCAGGATGAGGTGTTCAAGACTAGCCTGAGTTATATGAGAAGACATGGCCTTTAGTGAAAAATTTAAATGATAAACCGAAGAGGGCAGTGATATAGCGCAGCTTGTATGCTAGGCACAGAGCCTTGGGGTCAGTCTCCAGTGTGGCATAAAACTGAGGGGTATGGCAGTCACTTGTAATCCCAGCATTCAGAAGGCTGAGGCAGGAGGATCAATAGCTCAAAGTCCTTCTTGATTACACAGCAAGTTTCAGGCTAGCGGGGTTCCCTGAGACCTTGTCTAAGTACTAATAATAGCAATAATTAAAGAAGGAATGTATTTGTTAAGAAGCATTTTTGTTGTAACTTTATAAACTTGGTATGACTGTCACTATTTCATTTCAAAGTAAGTTTCTTTACCTGCCTAGAATTATCTTTAGGAATCTTGGTCAAAAGTCAAGCTTTAAAAATAAAAAGGTCTTAAAAAAATCAATTAATATAAGCCATTACATTAACAAGCTAAAAAACAACCTATGATTCTATCAATAAACATAATCTAAAAAAAAAAAAAATAGGGAAAAACAGGTAGCTTTTCTACCTTGATAAAGAATGTCTACAAACACTCCACAGCTCACAGCATGCTTTACGAGAGGAGCTTGAAGCTTTCCAAGTAAGGTCAAGGGCAAAGTGAAGATTCCCCCATTCATAGCTAATTTTCAACAGCATCCTGGAACCCACAGATAACTCGGCAAGACAAGAAAACGAAATAAAAGGCAGACTGAGAATGAAGAAACAAAATAACTTCATTTGCAGAAAGTGTGATCATCACTGCAGAATACAGAATTGACAAAATCTGAACGCTCTGGAATGAATATTTGATTACAGCCAGATACAAGGTTAACACAAGTCAGTTTCCCCACAGGGATAGACAGGTAGAAACCAAGATGAAAATGCAATATTCACTGAAGGGTTTGGCTGTAAGCCCACCAAAACATACATGATCTGTGAAGAGAATGGTAACTCAATGAAAGTAATTAAAGGGGAAAAACTAACTGGAGAGGCAAACCATTTTCACAGAGAAATGACGTAATATTGTCACACTGTTAGTCTTCAAAATGATCATTATAAATATTATTATTATAATAAATATTATTATTATATTATTTATAGTGAAGTTGTTTTTAAAGCTGTAGCTTCCAACTTACACTGTAGATTCAACGCAATGTTAAAGTCTCATGTATCAATACATTGATTCTGAAGTGTAGATGCAGAGTCAAAAGATGCAGAATAATTGACAATATGTACTAAAGGAGCGCAAAGTTAGAAGAGGGACCCTGCCTGACTCCAAAACACACCACAGTGCCAACAGCAAGACCTATACTGGTCAAAGAATCGACAGAAACAGACCTGCAAACGGGCAACTAAATGATGGCTGCCGAGGAGCAATGGTAACACACATGCTTCTTGGCTTGCAGTGGAGCTACAAACCTCTGAGTCTCCTAAGCTGAAGATTGTGTTAGGTCAAATGTACCTCGTGCACCTAACCTCCCTATGATAGAGCTTACAGGGCAGCACACCACAGGCTGGGTTGTTTACCCTTGTGATCTCACGCCCCACTGAAGGCTATGGCTGGCTACTGCTGTTCAGCATCCTAAGCGTGTGTCCCACTGTGTGTGGCTAGCCCAGGAGAGCACCAAAACTCCAAGTCTAGTTTCACCTGAGGTCACAGCACTTCTACAACATCATAAAGTGACACTTGATACACTCAACCATCGTAAGTCAGTGACTTTGTGCAGTGAAGAAAGATAATCTTCCCAACACACACACACACACACACACACACACACGCACACACACACGCTGGTGGGGCAGACCTCACACCCATTGCAGACAGGGACTCAAATTCAATTTCACACCCAATCGTCTGAGAACTTCTACAAGATATCAGCGAAGAAAGTCAAGATATGCTTGGATAAAGTAATGACTTTTTATACAGCAGCGACGTCATGCTCCAGGACAGAAAGCTGATCAGCTAAACCAGACTAAAATTTAAAACATCTGCTCTGAAGAAGACAGTCAAGAGAAGAAGAAGTCCAAGTCTGATAGAAGAAAAAAAAAAAAAAAAAAACCTCACAAAGGATGGATAAGATGAAAGATTGCCATCCAAGCTACTCAAAGAATTCTTAAATCTCAACAAGAACACAAACAACCCAATTTAGAAACTGGGCCACGGACTTGAACAGATGCCCGACCAAAGAAGACACACAGATGGCGAACAAGCCTATGAAGAGATGCTCTTGCATCACCTCACCAGGGAAAGATGCAAATCAGCATGAGATATAGCTACGCATGTACTGAAGAGCCAAAGTCCAGAGTGTGCACTGTGTGTGTGTGTGTGTGTGTGTGTGTGTGTGTGTGTGTGTGTGTGTGCAGCAGAGCGGCAATGCTCACTCAGTGCTCCTGGGAACACACAGCAGAGAACCACTGGGAAGACGGCTCGGTGCTTTTTTTTCTTTCAAGACCAAACAATCTCGCCATCTGACCCAGCCATCGGGTCCTTGGCAGCTTACTCAGAGCACCTGAAAACGTGTAGCTGCTTTAAGAACATGCGTGTGGAGGGTCAGAGCGCTGATGGACTTGGAATGTGGATCCGGAACTTGGGAGGAACTCAGGCGTGCAACTTTGTCAGGCACCAAAAAGAAATGTGCTACCAAGCCATGAAAAACCATCCAGGAAGTCTAAGTTTAAATCCCTAGGTGAAAGAAGCCAATTAGAAAGTGTTCTGTAGGCATGATGGCGGCCTACTCTATGACATCCTGTGAAACTCAGTAAAATGATCAGAGAGTGGCAGGGGTTAAGGAAGGGAAGGATGGATGGGGAACGTGGAATCTGATGGCCCAAATATCTGCGTGTACACCAAAGCCAAGAGTCAGTACCTGAAGGAGGAAGGAGGCCTGTTTTCTGGGGTTCTTGATGAAGAAGGACCAAATAGCTTCCTTTGGTCTTCCCGGGGTGTGAATGGTCTTTGGGTTCTAACCTCTCTTAAGGCATTCCGTGCTTCGCTTATGATTTCTGCACTGGTTTTCAGCTTGGGCACTGAAGGTCGATGAAAGGGATCCAGCTTTTCTAGCTTTTGATCATTTGAGGACAGCATTGTTCCTTTTAAATTAAAGTGGTCTTCAGAGATATACCCTGAAAAAAAAAACAATAAAAACAAGCTACTTTTTACCCAGGACTTTAGAAAGAAATGCACCCAAAACATATACTGAGCTATTTCTCTATACATACACCTGAAAAAGAAACACAGCCAGGGGCTTGGCATGGGGGAGGTGTCTCCGTGAGTTAAGTGCTAGCTGCATAAGCAGGAGGAACTGAGTTCAGATCCCCAGAACTCATTTAAAAAAGCTGGCAATGTGGCTTGTGCCTGTAGCCCCAGTGCTGGGACGCTGAGGCAAGCCAACCTTAGGGGCTCCTAGCCAGGCAGACTTCCCAAACATCAATTTCTAGGTTCAGTGAAAGGCCCTATCTCAAAAAAAAAATAAGGTGGATAGACAATTGAGGAAGATATCATGTCAACTCCCTGGCTCCCGTGCCCCTGAACAGGAAAGGACGCCCACACATGTGTGGGCATATATACATGTAATACACATATACACACCATAATTTATAGTTAAAAAGTCAAGCAGGTAGAGGGCAAAGATGGGGAGAATTGCTATCAAAATGATGAGCTGCACAGTTGTGCCACTGTGCAAGTGAGGAAAAGATGTCCAGGGAGGAAACAACAACAAAAGAAAAGGACCCAGTATCACAAGAAAGGATCAAGGACCAAAGCCAGGACCTACTGCTGTCAGGCATATGTTCCTCTACTGAGCCCTAGACCCAGACCCAGAGCTAGATCCAGCCCTCATTCATATCCATAAGCCTACCTGAGAGTGCTGGGAGTTCTGTTAATTGAACTAAGCTTTTTTTTTTTCTTCCTCACCCTACCCCTGATACAAATGGTTTACCTAGGGTTAAACTGGTGTTCTTCCAAACCGCACTTGCTTTTTTAACAAACTCCCAAGAATGGTTCACTCCCATATTGTCTATTTTATTTTTTGAATGAACCAATTCAAATCATCCTCAGTTCTTAAAGTGAAGTGAATTGGGTCCTTGGTGGAAAAATACCAAATATTAATAGCTAGAATTCCTTTCCCAGCCTGTTTGGCTCATCAAAGACTTAGAGCCATGCAGGAGGGCCATGAGACAACACAGATCCTTCTCAAAGCCAATGTGGCCCACAGAGACTAGCCTACCTTGGCAGTGGTCCAGATTTTTAAAAACTTATTCTGGTATCAAGGTATTCGTTATTTTAAATACAATCTCTAGTTCTAAAGAATAAAAGAAAAACTAACCCTGAAAAACTGTAATTTCAGAGAGACAAAAGCCTGAACATTATCCGGGCATTTCGGCGGGCTAACTTTAAGATGATTTGTATTAAAAAGAAGGGGGGATATGTTTAGGCAAGAAAGGGGGTGGGGAGGAATGGGAGAAAAGATCTCACTTCTATAAGCAAGAGATTCCTTACACAGAGAAACTTGCCACATTATGACCCATTAGGACTGCTGGAGCATTGCCATTTTAGGAGGTCTTTTAGTTCAGGATTTTGAGTTTAAACAAGGACCCTAGAATTTTATATATATCAAAACTATCAAAAACTATGGCAGGCCTAAGACATTTACTCCTAACACTAATTTTTAATGGGATTTATTTTGAAATATATAAAATGCTTTAGATATCCATACATCTATACACATTTGTTTATATCATATGTATATTAATGTATACTTATGTATACTGTTTTTGATAGATAATATAAATTCAGCCTATATATATGATATACAACTTAAGTGATCATGGCAGGTGTGTTGGGGTGCAGTTTGGTGGCAGAGTGTGCACTTAGAATGCGAAAGGCCCTTCCCTAACACCCACAAAAAGAAACAAAAGCCAGGTGACTTAGTGAGAAGTGTCTATACAGTAAAGAGGTTTCTTTGCAGACACTAAATCAGTTTGTCTGCTTCTTCAGCCTCACACAGCAGTAATGAGTATAGCCATGGCCGAAGAGAGTCAGGCAAAACTAATAAAGACTCAACAGAGTGCACTGGGGAGTAATAAAGGCTTCTTGTTCCCGGCCTGCAGATCTCTCTGGCTAGCTTTTAGTTGGCTAAGTACACAGAATTGAGAAGTACACAGAATGGAAGTAGGAACTCAGGGCGTGTTCTAAGAGTTCTGTAAAATATATTAGGCTGACCAAATATCTGTGGGGAAAAAAAATGTAAGGGGTTAAAAAATAGTATGGGGGCTGGAGTGATGAGTCCACAGTTAAGAGCACTGGCTGCTCTTCCAGAAGACCTGGGTTTGGTTCCCAGCACCAACATGGTGGATCACAGCTGTCTGCAACTCTAGTCCCAGGTTACTCAATGCCCTCTTCCGGCCTCGTTGGGAACTGCATGCACATGGTGGACAGACAGACATGAAAGTGAAACATCCATACACATGAAAATATAATAATAAAATGTGTTTAAACGCTCACAACCTTCCCTGTCTCCTCCCAGGTTCCACTTTGTTATTTGGTAAGAATGGGTACAATAATATGGCCGGTACCATTTATCTTTGGTTATTATATTAATGCTAACAGTATCAGCTAAATCAAACTTGGGAATGTTTAATAATAAAAATAAACTGGTTAAGTTGTGGTTCTTTTGGTAAAGAGAATGTTGTTCTTTAAAGTGGTTAAGTTCCAAGTTAAGTTGGAAGTTGTTATCAGTGGGTTCTGTCCACTGGAAAGGTAATTACTAAGAGTGCGAACATCTGTTTACAACATAGCACCCCAGAAACCAATGATACTACAGAAATCTGAATTTTCTAAAGCCTTCCTGACAACAGGAGCAAGCTCATTCTCCTAGAGACGACCAGCTGATACAATGGCAGTATATCTCCCACAGGCAAAGCCCTGCATCTAGATCTCTGGGAACCTAGAGAGTAAGAAGATCCATCTCTTCTCTAAGCAAGCTGGGAAGGAACGTGAGGGAAGCATTCACTTTAATACAACAATGTGCTGAGTCCTCCTGAGCACGTCATCTTGACAAATCCTGTGGCAATTCTACGAGGTAGAAAGACTCAGAGTAACAGTGAAAGGCGTATGTCCAGGCATAAGGCGTATGTCCAGGACTGATGGCCACGCTGTTACAGACTTAGATGGGTGGCTGGAGGCCCCGGGCTGCAACTACTTCCCTGATAGTACAAAGACCTCCAACATTTCCCCAACAAGGGCAGCCTTCTCGGTGTGCACCAGCTGAGGGTCAGCCAAACAATTTCGGTATAAGGAAGAAGTTGAGGGGAACAACGAAAATGGACAGAAATGGCCACATGAGCGCCAAAACAGGAAAGAGTTTCAGACTGGGAGAAGGCACCTGGCAGGCTTACAGAGGCAGCGGCGCTTGGGCTAGGTTCTGGAGAATGGGCTGACTGTGAGGACGAGAGTGTCCCCGGAGGAGCAGTGAGTAAGTCAAGAAAGAGAATCGGGAGCCTAGTGGATAAACATGCATGGCCCAGCAGCGTTTCAAGCATGAAATCTGGTGATGGGGAGGAGGAGGAGGGCTGACAAGGGAGGGGAGAACAGAGCTACAGGGCAGGAAGAAACAAAATACAAGCTGATGCACGGATTGAAGATCTCAAAGGTTGGTGAGATTTGGCAAAGGTGGACAGGAAGAAGAGAAGAGAGGACAAGTGACAAAATTGGACAGTTTTTATCTAACTCTTCTCGCTCTGAGAGTCACTTCTTCAAGAGCCCTTCCTGGGTTTAATGGCCTTTGTACAGAGACTGGTCTCTGTCCTATACCCTTCCAGAGTGTTAGAACTAGCAACTCGGGCATCTGGTGTTGTTTCCTACCCTCTGAACCCCAACCCTGCCTAGGAGCACAACTGAAGGCCAGATACACCTGAGCTGAGAAATTCCCAGAGGAAGGCTACGTGGCTTCTTTCATTGGAGATACAGGCTGTGGTAGATTATAAAGGCAGATGGGACTTTATTTCTGATGGCATCTGATTTGCGAGGCGCTGTGACAGCATGAGTTCAAATATAACTCCCTCTCCCTTTCCGGTCACCCCAACGGGTGAGACTGGACAAAAGCAGGGATCAGTGAGCCACCTATGGTAAGCCTGAGATCCGGGAGTGACAGAAAAGAGGTGAGAGCAGGGATGGGCACTGAGAACAGAAAGGACGGGCGTGTGAGAAGAGGGGAGGAGGTCAAAGGCAACACCGAATAGGCAGACCTACGAATAGGCAGACCTACGGGGCTCAGAGAGAGGCCAGGAAGCCTTTCAGAAGAACCCAGTGGGGAAAGAGGGAGGCTGTATTCTGTCTTGCATCATCCTGTGCTCAGTCTGTGGTTCTCCCAGGGGACCACGAGGGGACGAGCCTCATCTGCAGGAGAAAATCTGAAACTGAAGAAGCAGTTTTTGTTTGGTTGTGTTGTTGTTGTTGTTTTAACGTGCTTGGGTATGTTGCTCGTTGAATACGTCAACTCACCACGAGCATGCAGTGTCTACAGAGGCCAGAAGACAGCATTGGATCCCCGGAACCGCAGTTACAAACGGTTGTGAGCTGCCATGTGGGTGCTGGCAATCAAACCCTGGCCCTCTGGAAGAGCAGCCAGTGCTCTTAATCACTGAGCCATCTCCGCAGCCCCGTGCATTTTTTTAAACAAAATATTTCTTATTGATTTAAAAGAAAGTCAGTCATTATTTACATAATGTTATACCTTAATTATAAAAAAAAAAAAAAAAACCTTAAAATAGCAGCAATTCCAGTTCCAGGGGATCTGATGCCTTTTTCTGGCCTCAGTGGGTGCTGCATGCACATGGTACACACATACACAGGGAAACGCTCACACACACCAAACACCAATATGTCCTTTAAAAAAACACCTAGCTTTACTTTTACTCCCAGCAGCCACCAATACCAGATCTTTCATGCTAAAGACAACATTGCCCTATCAAGATTGCCAAAATGAGTGTTTGCAGGACTCTTTCCATGACTGAATTACTTTGGCATTAATCTGAGCATCCAAACAGGTGAGAGAAAAGTGCTTAGGTGTCAGAGCAAGCATTTAAGTTCCCTGCAGGTCTGCGACCTCGGGCGGAGTACTGGACATCTCTGTGCCTGTGTTCTCTTTCGTACAAAGCGTGGATCGCGATTGCCTCTTAGGACAGTTTTCAGCATTGCATGAAATGGTCCGTATGCTCTAGCACAGCGCCTAGCCCTTATAAACAGACGGGAAAGATGCACTAAAAAGAGAAATCACAGAAGAGAATGACGTTTGTTCAATGTTTTCATGCATATCATACACTTAAGCTTTCAAGTAGAGAGTTCCGTCCTTCATAAAAAACAGAATTTTTATTAAGTGCTTTACTGAATGTCAGTTATCCCAAATCGACACCAACTGCTAGTCAGAACCTAGGAGGCTCACAAAAATGGGATACAGAGCGTGACTTGCTTTTCTACCGCGTGAAAAGAATTTGAAGTAGGGATGAAATGGGAGAACGTGCCGGTGGGTCGTAAGAGGCATTCCGTACACATACGATGTCATGAACATTGTTCCGCACACACTTTATTGAGGACGCATCTGTCACCTAGTAAAGTCTAAGTCTGTTAGGTGTGCAGTTTGTTATCTGAGTAGGTCGCCGGCCTACTCAAAGTCCCTTAGTCGCCTACCACCCTCTCATTCAACCAGTGTTTCTGAGCTCCTGCTGTGAAATCCCAGGCAACAGATCAAACTCCCAGTGTTACAGAGGCTGAAACCTGGGTGGACCTCGAGTGTACGCAGCAGCACCGCTCGACCCTATCGGCGGACCGGAAGACAGAACAACTGCGGGAGGGGTCCCTGGTGAACCTGCGGGGGACTCCTCACCTCCCGCTCGCACGACAGCTCTCCCACTCCCGGCAAAGCCCGTTCCTCCACCGGTCCATGTCAGAGCAGAGCGCTGAAGCATCCTCACCTCGCCCTCCCGCCCTCCTGCGCACTGGCTTCGCCTCGCCGGCCAGCGTCTCCATGGTAACCGTACACAAACCACCTTCCGCTGCAGGCCGGGCAGTGAGCCTGCAGGCCCAGGGCGCCGCGGAGCGGGGCGAGATGCGCTAGAGTAGGTAGTGGGAAGGGAACTCCCGGCTCGACCCACAGCACCGGTGACGAGCGCTAGACACACGGACCCCGGCGGAGATCGGCGTGTCCTCCCGCTTTTGCAAGGCGGGGCGGGGCGGGCCTGCTCCACTCTCCGCCACTGAGCCTGCGCCGATCCCGCCACGCAGGCGTAGCTGGGTCCAAGCGTGGAGGTGGCCGGTGCGGGAGTGGAGGCAGGAGGATGCCCACCGGGGAAAGGCTAGAGGCTTCTTTTACATTAGCAATGTATTCAGCCATGTTTGTTTCTCCCCGTGACATCTCCGAGCCTCAATTAAGCTACAGGCAGAGGAACAATTTAATGTTTTGGGGAAGAGTCGGTTTCAGCCTTCACCTGGAACCCGTTCCTTAATGTCCCCCATCTCTTACGCCTAAGGGAGTGGGGTCTCAACCTGTGTGCGTCTAGCTGAAGCTTGGGCTGTGACAAAATAAACAGAAAGCGCCGTGAACGTTGCCGTGAATGCTAACCTGCTGGATATTAACTCCTTGCATTTTGTGCAGCACTCAACAGTTTATAAAGCAAGCTCACAACTAGGGACCCGAGGTCAAATCAGGTGAGTGCCAGAGGGATTTAAGTCTAGGGTTGCTATGGCTAGTCTCTGTGTTCTTACTGCATCACAACAGCCCAGCGTGGGAAGGGGAGAAAAAAAAAAGAGAAGTGCCGTATATATGTTTCTAGTTCCAATTCTGTTTGCTCCTACACTGGATCGTTAGGTAACATGTGTGGAATACAAGCGAGGCTTATGCTCTAAGTTTACAGTACGGCTTATATATAGGGATTATCAGAGCAAGTGTTACCAACACTGGAAAAATGCCATATCCCATGGTGCCAAGCTTCTCGTAAAGAATAAATTGCATCTAGTTTACACACATACTACATTTGATGAGAAATGACACCCGGAACTAAAGAAAGAAAAAGTTTTCCAAGTGCCTAACAAGATTTCCCACATCACAGGCGATGAGAACTCAATCACTGATTAAGTTTAGGGCCCAGAACTAAATATTTGTGTTCACTGGGAACAGGATCCGTCATCTTTTTAGTCGCATGTACTAGTCACCAGACTCAGTTATCCAACAGGACATGGCTTGTTGCACAGAAAGACATAACTAGTACTTTGATTTCACAATTGTGAGACATGATTAAAATACAACTCCATTTGGGTCTCTTGGTGGCCATTAAAGTACAATAATGTTTATCTGACCCTAGGTGAAGAGTTAGGTAGCGTTTCCTAATTTTTCTGCTATTAAATGACTGGTAATTATTAAATGACTTTTATGCTATTAAATGATTGATATTAACTCAACCTCAACATCTTTCTAAATGATGTCGGGTGAAATACAACAAATGTTTCAAACTACAGTAGCCAATAGAGATTTTGTTTTTTCATCTTCTTAACCCTCACCCCAGATTTGAGCTCTATGCCTTCCTAAGAGTTTCAGTAGCTGACTCCTAACTCCAAAATTGTCATCTCCACTAAAACAGCAGCTTAAAAAACCCTGTAAAAACAGTCATGGCTCAGGCCTATAATCCCAGCATGTGGGCAGTTTAGACAGGAGGATTACCACAAGTTCAAAACTAGCCTGGGCTGCAGGGTGAAACCCTGTCTGAAAAGACAAAACAAATAAAACAACAAAAGCAAACAATTAGTTGTTAGCTATGGCCTTATGTCTAGAAGGTTGGTTTGAGCTAGACCTTGTAAGCATATCACTGAAATATGGAGCCAGTCAACCCAGAAGGCCAGATGTCAGCCAAGCGGGCTAGAATAACCGGAAAAAAATTGACAAAGTTTACAGGGGACAGAGTTTATAGGGGACAATTAGGCTACCACAGCAGAAGCCTGTGTGGCTGTCTTGGCAGCTCCTCTAGCTATCTGGTGGCTGTTTAAAAGAATTCTACACAGGTGGGCTTTTGTAAAGAGGATGGCTTTAAAACTCAAAGCTACCAATATGTCTCATAGACCTGAAGGAGAAATGATTAGTTATGAGCATTAGGCATTTATCGAGTAATTTACGGTTTCCAAATTGATTTCATTTGGAACATTTTGTTCTGTTGTCTTATTTGGAGCTTACAGTAACCCAGAAAAGGTTAATCCCAGGATTATTATTCGAATTTGAAATATTGAATTTGAAATGGGCAGTTCAGAAGTTTAGGTAATGTGTTCACGGCACGCGGCTAGTAAAGGGGCATGTGAGCTGGTGTTCTTGGTATGAAAGGCCAGTGGGCTGCCCTACCACTGTATATAGATAGAGAAGGGCCGGGCCTCTTCTCCCCGGTCAGGAGGGGCTCTCCCTCGGCAGTGCTGGGCTCTAGGCATCACGAGGACCCTCAGAACCTTCACTTGAACATGTCCCACTGAACCCCCGGACTTGGCATTAACAGAGTTATGTGGGCGGTGAATTGACAACGTGCTACTTGATCTCTCCGATATAAAAGTGCAGGGTTGGGCTGGAGAGCGGCTCAGCAGTTACGAAGTGTTTGCTGCTCTTGTAGATTATCATTTTGGTCCCCAGCGGCCACACAGACTGGCTCACAACTCCCTGGAATTCCAGATACACACACACACACACACACACACACACACTGCAAAAGAATATAAACGGGTAGGGGGTTTTATTTGCCAGACCCTAATAGATTTTTTTTTAAAGCTTATAGTTTACACCACACATACCTTGTACTTAAATCTATTTCTTATTATCTATCTATCTGTTAGGTATATTCTTGAGAAGATACAGGTTAAAATAATAGTTTATTAGTTGCTCAGATTTCTTCCCCACCATAGTTTTATGACTGTAACAGAGATGTAACTTTTAGGAAATAAATGCTGCTGCCAAGGAATAAAGACTGCCAACTTAAAATTCTAATACTCCCTTCAAGATGTTCGGTCATTTCATTATATTTATCATACAGTCCCTGTAAAGAATTCATCAAACTGATGGCTCGCGCAGTCCTTGCATACAAATTCAAAAGCACGGCTGTCTTTCTGTGTACTTCAATAGGACCTTACAACGTGATGAAAATTCACTGAGTTCATGGACCTTGACAGACAGAAAGAGATGGAGACTGACTGAAAGCATCAACTAAAAAGTTACAGCACAAACCTCCGTTTAAAGGGGCTCAGTTGGTGCCTAATACCTTTCACACACATTGCCTCTGCCTGCCCTAACCGAGTGCTGACAGAGCTCAGATGGTTGACAGGGAGAGTGATGAGCAAGGGCCTATTGAGTTACCACTTGAGACAAAGAGATGTATCAACTTTGCGTTTCAAAACACCCCCCCCCCCCTTGGATCCAAGTCACCTGTGAGACATTATCACCCACACCTATAAACCAGCCACCTGCAAAAAACACACAGTTCTACCCAAAGGAGCTTAAACACCAAACCCCTGATGTACTAATTTGTTTCGCAATGATCTGGAAGCTGTCGGTTGCAGAGCGGGGCCCTGTGGCTCAACGTGTTTCAGTCATAGCTTTCCACGTGGTCGCAGCTGACATCACTGAGCCGCGCCCTCTCAACCTACAGTGTCCAGAATAAGGAAAGAGAAGTGTGGACCCTTTCCATTTACAACAGTGTAACAGGAAGAAAAACATTTCCCAGGGAGCTGAAGGAGCACTTTCATGTTAGGCTCAAGGCCCAGAGATCAGTCTCCACACACATGCATGCATGCACACTTGCACACACGAATGTGCACACCCCTTCCCAAAGCATCATGGGGGAACCCTCGGCAAAGAAGACCTGTGGATGCCCTGAGAGCCTGCAGAGAGAGGAAGGAAATGGGAGTTCATGGAGGAGGCCTGTTCACTTCATGGTGGCCAGGGAGCAAAGGGGAATGGGATGAAGAGAGGGTCCTGGTATTTCTTTAAGAGTATTCTGCCCTAGTAACATAACTTTCTTCCAGTCAGCACAGGCTAGGCACCAAGCCTTCAACAGCACAAACGTTCAAGATTCTAACTATCAAGATCCTTAGTTTTTCGCTTGTTTTGTAAAAACAAAACACTGTCGTGTAGCCTAGCTGGCTTTGACCTATGTAGCCAAGGATGACCTTGAGCTCCTGATTCTTCTGCCGCTCACTCCCAAGTGCTGGGCTTACATGCATTGTGCCTTGATGCTCTTTTTATTTGTTGGGGACGAAACCCCAGGCTTCTTGCTACTTTGATGTGTTAAATGAGCATCTTAGCCACTTATCCCAGGTTTGAAACCTAACACACATCTTTCTCAAGAGTTCTCTGTGTTGGCCTTTGACACCACCCATCCACGCAATTAAATCTCAGATTTCTTGTCCCCACAGTCAGCACCTGTAGCTTGCGTGTTCATGCTGTTATAATGACCAATGTTTCTTGGGAACTTGTAGGGAGAAGGCCATGTGGTAACTTCTAATTAATAACTTTTCCAACCCTAAACTACTATTACTGTCATTTCACATGCCTAGAAACAGATTTAGTTTCTTCATTTGTTGGCCACACAGGTGGTAAAAGTAGCAAACCTAGGCTTCAAGCCTGGCTTGGTGGGGTTATCTTTCTAGGGGCGCAAAGTTCACCCAACGTAGGCCACTGCCGTTCCCTGATCGCCTCCTTGTATCTCCCCAACTTTGTGCCGTGGTTTTAGATGATGCCACAACCAGGAGACTCAGGGTGATGTCTGATCAGTGGCCATTTGGAAGGGTTGCAAGAAGGTACTCACCCCCAGGCAGTCTGCAGGAGAAGAACAACAGGGCTATTTACACCTCACCTCCCTGCCTATTTCCCACTGTGCAAGCTCAGGGTTGACCCAGCCAGCATCTGCTTTGTGT